TTATACCAGCCTATATTTTTATCATTTAATTCTTAACTAATCTTACATCATACAAGTTTCAAAGTGGAAACACCAATTTTGTAACATAGGCATTGCTGTCGTTTGGTTTATATTACTTTAAGGAATCATCATTTTTATTTACTTTGAATATATATATATATTTTTTAAAATAACATAAAAGTAACATGGACAAATAAAAAGTCACGAGCGCTTAAAAAAGTGATACAGTTAAATTTTTTTTTCTCACTTCTATTAATTAAGATTTAAGATCAAATTCTATTTTTTTTTATATACAAACTTATTTTGAGAATAGTATAAATAATATAAGTCTATTAATATATTTTTTTTATTAAAAGAGAATGCTAGTTAGCTTTTACATTAAATGAGATAATGTAAACTATTTAAAAACACTTTCTGGGAACTACTTTAAACTTATTTGTGCGAGAATTTTTGTCAAGAAAGTTTTTGGACAGACAATTGCTCTTGGAAATTTAAAAACAACAGCTCAACATTGGAAGACAGCTTGATTCCCAGTACATCTCAGTGTTTTTAAATTATGGTAATAGATCTGCAAAATCTGAGTTATAAATGAATTTGATTTTTTAAATTTGAATTGAAATCAAAAGCGAACATAAAATCCCAATACTTTTATCAATGGTATATGTTAGGTTTAAATTAAAGTGAGTATTTATGCACACTCTTCGGAATTCGGATGCGATTACAACTGTTTCGTAACTTTGTGATTATCAATATTATAGTAAAGATCTTTCCGATAAACATGTTAATTTTAAAATTATATAATGTAACTTGATTAAAGAAAATAAGGGAAATACAAGACTCGACTAAAAAAGTGACTTCGGTCTATTTAGACACATTTTTTCAAAAATACTTATAAAAAATTCAGAAAGAAAAATAAAACAATTTTATTTATAAATTAAGATTATAAATTTAAAATAAAATTTTAAAAAATATAGTAAGAGAGAACTTCTACATATTAACTTATTAACTTAAATATAAGTTAATTATATTTTTTTTTCTTCATGTGAAATGAAATAAAAACACATGCTTATAAGAATATTTTGTAGGCAAAAATATTTTTGTATATGATTATATATATATATATATATATATATATATAATTTTTTTTATTTATTTTGAACTCTTATATTTTTTTAAAAATATTTTAGTAAGAAAAATAGTTTAGTAGTGATAATAAAATGTAAATGGACTAAAAAATAAGGATTTTGCTACTATAGAGATTAAAGAAAGTAATTTATAGGTATGAAAATAAAGCTATGAATATTAGACAAGTATAATTTTATGAGTACTTGAATGTAAATTTAGTGCAAGTATAAGAACTTAAATATAAAGATTAAAAACGTCAATACCATATGAGTGTATCATGTGAGCATCATACTGATATTAGTGCATACGTTTTTACGACAGTTCTAAAATGTAAAATTTTTGTTAATATAAGAATTAAATCAAGTTTTTTTTTTTAATCTCAAACGTGTGGCTTAGCGATAAGGGTTGATTTATGTTTAAGTAAGGTCAGGTTTAAGTAAGGTCAGGTGTTCGAATTCTTTCTTGTGTATGCAGCCGCGTTAAATCTTGGAGCTAGCTATCCTACTTTTTGAGGTGCCTCCAACGTAGCGAGAAGATTAGTCACTTCTATCGATGGTGAATACTCCAATGACAAAAAAAAAAATTTAAGTTTTTTTTCCTTTGGAAAAAAATAAAAAAACAAAACATTGTTGTAGTTTTTTTTGTACATTTTTTTTTGGGGTACATGATTGTAGTTCTTCTATGCTGCTAATAGTATTTTTTTTTTAATAGGTATATGCAGTTACTGCATCATATCACTTTCGTGTATAAATAATACATGCTTTTTGTGGATTGGATAATAAAAAATATAATTAGAATTTGATGAGATTTTATTCTATTATGAAATGAAACATCTGTGTATCAGTGTGTTCACTTGAGTATTTGTATTTTGAAAGGTTGTCCCATAATTGCGTCTGACTGCAGAATATAGTTTGGTTTTGTGTTGTCTTTTTCTACGGTGAGGTGGAAGTGGGATGCATTGTAATGCGCTTTACTCTTTACTGGGAAAGGCTTATTCGGACAGGTCATATTTGTAGTAGTCGCCATGCGGAATAAAAATGATTTTTAGAAACCTAACTATTATTTTAGAGATTAATAATGCTCCATATTAATATATTAATATGCCGTTACCTAAAATATAAATATACTATTTTAGAGATAGAAAAGCAAAAATATAAATATCATTTAAAAAAAATACTTTTTAATAGAGTAAATGATTTTTTATTTTTATGTGTTTATCAATTTTTTAAATATATTTTTCTGTTTTTTTAACAAATTCTATTTTTTTCTTAAAATATCACCTTTTTATCTTATTTTAAACAAACCAATGAAGTATTCAAAATTATGGTGTGTCAAAAATGTAATATTGTATGCTTTAGATGATATAATTTAATTATGCATGATATATGATTAAATGTTGTTATGTTATTACTTAGTTGTTTTAGAGTTTTGGGGGTCAATAAATCTTAAAGAGTTTAGTTATTTTTTATAAAGTATCATACATAGCTAAATTGATTCAACTTTAAAAAATTTAAAAAATTTATATAAGACTTTTTTAAAGCGTGAATCTCATAAGTTTAAGTTTTAAGAAAAATTAGAAAAAAAGTTAGAGAGAAGTCTCCTAAGAATAAAATATTTCTCCTTCACTTTCTACTAAAATTTTTCATTCTACCCTTCCTCATAGCTGATATAAAGTGATTAAGTCAAAGATTCAAGACTCAAAGTTAAGAATTTGAGATGGTGAAAGTCGTACGTTGATTTGAAGTTCTTCCTTTTCTTCTTCCCCCTCTTGTGTTTAGAGTTGAGGTAATGGAATTTTTGTGATTTGATTTGCTATGTTAAATGTTTACTGTTGTTATTGAAATTCGTCACTTGCATGATTAAGTTGGATAAAATTGTAAATTTAAGTGTTGTTGAGAGGTGCTCTTGAAAATGGAGTTTCTTAAGTAAATTAGTGAATTTGATGTTTGATGGTTGCATGTTATATCTTGAGTTGGTTTAGTGTTGTTTATGGTGTATATTTGTTGTATGTTGTGTTGCATATTGTTTTGAATGGTTAGATTATAGGTTTTGAATCATTTGGGGAATTTGCTATTTGTAAAAATGAGCATCGTATCGAGCGCATTTTCATTGTGCTGAACGTGACTTAAGTTAGGAAACTCTTTGTCCTGATCACATCAAGTGCAAAATTGATAACATCAGGCATGACTTATTGAAGAATTCTTTGACTTATTCATGTTAGATGTAGAATGAGTGGTGTTGAATGCGAGAACTCAAACATTATTTGACTTGTGACGTGGAGTCTTATAAATACAGTGTCCAATGTGGTCAATTAAAATTGTTGTCTAAATGACGTCAATTGTGACGTTGAACATGAATTAGGTAGAAATTCTTTACATGTTTGAGATTGATTGTAGGTCTTGTCATGCCAAGCAAAAAAAAACTCAAATGTTTCTTGCCTCACCCACATTAGGTACAAAAGGATTGATGCTAGACATGGACAAGACAAAAACTTTGTTTTAATAATACTGAAAACGTTTATAAATGACTACTAACATGATATATTGAAAGAAGTATAATGTTGTAAGTTGTTTACATGTTAAATATGAGACAGATGATAAACACATCTCCACCCTAGTTTAAGCACACCTCCTTTTTTAAAAAATATATATAAAATATTTAAATTACCCTTAAAAAAAATAAAATTCCTAAATTTACACCTTCTTTCCCCACACCTCCGGTACCTCGCATCCCCCTTCCCCGCACTCCACACCCCCCTTCCCTGCACCCCAAATTCACAGAAACCTCTTCTTTGATCAAATTCACAACCACAACACCAATTTTGACACTCTCACTGGCCACAAATTGGGCGTAGGGGAACAATAGGAATCCGAACGCCGTGATGACCGTCACGAAAATCACAACGTCGGCCACCACTGATCGGGAGGGGGTACAGTAAGATTCGAGCAAGATGGAACCGAAATCCTTTGTATTGGCTTTGGGCCATAAATGTGGTAGAGAAGGGTTGCGCCCGAACCTTCAGCATGCGCAAACCTGTTTGCACGCCTCTTGCGGAACGAGATCAAACTGAAACTATTAATAATTGCGGATGGAAATGGCATGGAAGCGAACGAACTAGGAAAGCAGCATGGAAAGCGAGGCTCGTAGCACCCCCATTCATCTTCGGTTAGGCGGTAAGGGACGAGACTCTTATCCCCCGACTAAGGTGCTTCCATTCCCTACGTATGCCGCTACATGCCTTCGCCGCATCCTCTCATGCCCGGTCCAGAACGTCACATCTTACCATGATTGGTGGGAACGCGGTTTCTCATGATAACAGGGGTTAAGCTGTCCACTCGGGGTGGAAGGTGCGTGCTGCTGAAACTTCTTAAGGATATGCTGTGCCGGCAGATCCTGGAGGGAATTGGGGTTTTTCCGGTGCCTTGATTTCGAGCCGAAATCGCCATGAGTTGGTCAACGGAGGAGTTGCAGAGAGAGATTAAGCTATGGAAATAGACCATTTCAATCACAAACCCAGAAACCCCCAAATTGAATCAATCCCAGATCAGAAACCACGTATATAACAACGATTAAAAAAAAATGGCGGGTGCGAGAATTGAAATGGGTTTGGGTTAGGTGGGGTGTGGGGCACGGGGCACGGGGAAGGGGGATGCGGGGTACCGGGGGTGCGGGGAAAGGGGTGTAAATTTAGGAATTTCATTTTTTTTAAGGATAATTTAGACATGTTATATATTTTTTTTAAAAAAGAGGGTGTGCTTATACAAGAGTGGAGGTGTGTTTATCATCTGCCTAAATATGATGAGCCGGCCCAAAATTGAAACTGAAATGTTGGGCCAGACCAACCGATGTTTCAAGTCCAAATCAGACAATTCCGAGGGTCAAGATTTGAAGCAACGGCAAAACACTGTAGCCCAAAATCGCGAGCCTGAGTGAGAATAGACCAAATTGCGAGTCTGAGGGAGAAGAGAAATAGACCCAAAAAGAACGCGGGAAAACGCCGGCGTAGTGAATGAGTGAGCGCCATGCCGGAGCTTCCAGAAGTCGAGGCGGCGAGGAGAGCCGTTCACGAGAACTGCGTCGGAAAGAAGATAACAAAGTGCGTCATCGCCGATGATTCCAAAGTCATCGACGCCGTCTCTCGCTCCGAATTCGAAGCTTCCGTCCTCGGCAAGCTCATCGTCGCTGCTCACCGCAAGGGAAAGAACATGTGGCTTCAGCTCGATTCTCCTCCTTTTCCTTCCTTCCAATTCGGTCCTCTCTCTTTAAACCCTAGCTTCCTAGTTTTCTCTTTCCGTTTTAACTCATTGTGCGCGACATGAAAATGAAGCCGTCCTTCGTCGCTTTTTCGCTTTGTTATTTTCTGTTTAGCTCGCGTTAGGATTTGACGTGGTGCTTGGCACTTGGTGTAACTTGCATTTTGGTGATCCATGTTATTATGTTAACCATTTTTGTGCTTGCATCTAACGGCATAAGCTTTTACAAAATAGATAATATGAGAGAGCGTTTTAAAAGATAGCTGGTCTAAGAGAAGTACGTAGTATAAGTGAAAAGGGATAGGCATACTACTATTTTTTTATAGATACAATTTGTTTGGAATGATGTAAAGGGAAAATGTTGTATCGCATTTGACTTATTTGTGCTGAGTGTCGTCTTTCTCTCTAATGCGTGGCGGCGGACACACACTCACAGAGAGAATATGGACATCTATTTTGTTGGTACTTGGTGGTCTGCAACTTTTGAATTTATACTTCTCTGTGTCAGGCATGGCTGGTGCAATATACATTAAGGGGGTTGCGGTGACACAGTATAAAAGGTGAGGCCTATGGGGTATGGTTGAGTAGTCTTTACTTCTTTATACTGATATTGATAAGTTATGCTGAAGTTTCCATGTAGAATCTTTGATTATCATGCACTTGTCATGTTGCAATATGGATTTCTTACACACCCACCACCTATTGCTATTGGTACACCATGATTTTCTTGCCATAATTTCCCCTGTATCATTCTTTTATTGGCATTATTTAAATATGACACTTTAATAGGTTTTGTGGGAAAAGTTTGTATTTCATACTAATTAGGTGAAATGATTACGTGCCTGTTATGTTTTCTCAATATGGTCAATTTTATCTCATCCTTCTATGCACATTTTTTTACATGTTTAACATGTTTTCCTTGTTTCAATGTGCAAAAGTGCTTCAGTTTTGTATGTATTTGTAGGTGCCAAAATTATGTGTGAGAGTAGTGATGAGAGTTTGCTGTTTTATTGATTATACCAGACCACCTGATTGTATGAGAACTAGTGGGGAAGAAATTACAACAAGAAAGAACAAAGTGCTACTTCTAGGCAGTTAGAGTGCCTAGTCTATTGTAAAGTCCCAGTAAATTCCGTCCTACACTCCCAACTGTCACTCCCCAGCCTTATACCACATACAACTGAAATATTGAATCACCTTTTCCCACTCTTTTAACCCAGAAATTAGTTACATGGAGGACTCCTTATCATTCTCTTTCATTTGGTTATGATGCCCAACAATGCCACCCTTTTTCTAACATTCACCATAGTTATTTTAGATTTGAGCCAAACTATTTCAGTGTTTCTGTTAGTTATTTACTTATTTTGTTGCAATATTTTGACACATATAAGAACCTTAACTGGTTATGTTAATGATATAAACATGCATGTAGGTCTGCTGTAAAGGACGAGGATGAGTGGCCCTCAAAGTATTCAAAATTTTTCATTGAGGTATGATAGGTAACTTCATTGATGAGTGAAATGCTTGAACTATATCACTGTGGTCTTGTAGCCTCATGATTAAATTCTTTGGCTTGATTTGATTTGATGACCATTTAAATTTCATTTTGTTGTGGACTATTTGTTATAGATTCATGAGATTTAGAACATATATTAGAGTAGGACCTGATTCTATTTGTGGCAACCATAAACTTGTATTTATGTTAATTTGCTTATTTTCATGAAGTTTGGTTTTCATGCCATGAAAGAAAATTAGTTTTCTTTTCAATTAAGTGGATGTTATTTATTGGAACACTTCACTCTCTGTTCTACTTGAGTTTAAATGTTCTAGTCTTTACACGTTGAGGAAATTGGGGAGAGTGCGTTGCGAGCAAGAAAATGCAATGTATTCACTGAAAGTCCTCTTTCGCTTGTTGTGTTCCATTCCATTACCATAAACATTTATTTACAATACACCAGGACTCTGATTACACTGCAGAATTTACATCCCTTGCTATGAAGGCAATACAATAAACCACTTTGTTAACCCATGTATTTTTTCTCTTTACATATATATGGGGGTCTTTGAAGAATTATTATTTTCTTTTAAATTTCACAAGAGTATTCTGTGCAATTCAAAACCTTGAAGATCAAATAGATCAACAGAGGTTATAGTTGGTGGAGGAAGTTTTTATAATCAACATTTTCAGAAGATTTTGATATTGTTGGGGAGCTGAAGAGTGTGAACTTTTGATTCAATTCAGTTTCTTAAATTTTTGTTGTAAAGCATTTGATTCTTTCATGATCATATCATACATAATAACATAATCCGTAAGAAGCTGTACTCGTGTGCGAAGGTGATTTGTCTTTCTATTTTTTATTTTTCTTAACATACCTGGTGAGCCTTGGGATTCAATGAAATTTCTCTCCAATAAATATTGTCATTTATGTGAGCTTTGTAGGAATATTAATCATATTAATTCACATTTGTGCAGTTAGATGATGGTCTGGAGTTGTCTTTCACTGACAAAAGACGATTTGCTAAAGTTCGCTTGCTCAAAGATGTATTGAGACTGTACTTGCCAATTTGTCATTCATATTTCTTTTTTAATAAAGTTTGCTATTAATTGTATACTTTTTTCCTTTGATGTAGCCAACATCAGTGCCTCCCATATCGGAGCTTGGTCCTGATGCACTTTTGGAACCTATGGCACTTGAGGAGTTTACTAAGTCTTTGCACAAGAAGAAAACTGAAATCAAGGCTTTATTACTCGATCAAGTATTACGTGCACACCTTTATAACTTCCCATAGATTGTATTTTACTTGTTTTTTTATATATAATTTGGATATATCATCCTTTTGCTATATATATATATGTTTTCTTTTTATAATTATACATGATAAGTCAAAATATGGGTGTTCTTTAATCAAATTTATTGGACATCTTATACTTATTGACAACTTGTGCACGAGTAGAAGGCAGTATTCTGTTTATGAGGCAAATGGGACAGGCCAAACGATGAAAATTGATGGAGTTCACTAATTAATTGTTTAGGCATGAAACAAATTCTATTTAGATCAACTGCTCTTGCTAACTTGTGATGCAGATAAGCTTAGAGTTATATACATATAGGAGCAATCTACTTATTCTTGGAGTAAGTCTAGGTGAATTTACTCCACTCAATAACTCTTGTTTTACATTAAATTTTAACAATCAAACTATTAAACTAAGATTTCTTAATGCAAAGGTCAAGTCAACAAATTTTTAGAAGCTTTGAGCCCTATTTTAAAAATTTGCAGACTTGATTTATGCATTAAGAAATTTTAGTTTAACAATTAGATTGTTAAAATTTATCGTAAAACATGAGTTATTGAGTGAATTAAGTCTAAACACACACACATGTATAATTTCAAATAATGTGTCTGATCGATGATATATATATCTTTTTCCCCTTCTCAATTTTTCAAAGTGCATATGAATTTTGTTCCTTTTACAACTAACTGTATTCATTATATCATATTAATTATTAAATATCTGGAATTTCAAATTTTTCAGAGCTATATTTCAGGTATTGGAAACTGGGTGGCAGATGAAGTGCTATACCAAGTAAGTAAAACCTTTCTTTTTTCAATGATTTTGAATCTTTGATGTTTTACAACTATGTTTTAAGTGGAAGATACCAGATTTTAAATGTGGCTTTAGAATTTATGTATGGCTTATTAAGCTTTAAGTTTTAGTATTCATCTCAATTTAGTCTTTGATCTTGATCACAGGAATTCTAAGAAAAAGACTCTAATGAATGTACTCTATTGCCTTTTAAAAGAATATACCAATTCCCTATTCACTACATATACAAGATGATTAATATGCTCTTCACACATACCTTGTTTTATCTTGTATCCTGCATAGGTTTCTCATAGATCACTTACTCTATGCAGTTGGAACGGATAGATACTCTGCTTATGTCATAAAGATTCTTGATGTTTTAAAATCCAGGGGTGGGAATAAGGCACAATTTTACTTTGTAGAAATTTGCTGGAAGGGATGCCTATTTGTTTGTTAGTGTGAAGTTTTCTTTCTATATGAGAAATGCTAGGAACACACCCTCTGATACACTTCTTTTAATATACTGTTCAATTGGTTGAAATTTATTGAAAAACACAGAAGTTGGTGGGTTTCACACCCTATGTAATGACTCTCTCTCTCTCTCTCTCTCTCTCTCTCTCTCTCTCTCTCCCTCTCTCCCGATTTTGTGATTTTCAATAAATTCTAACTAATAAAAGAGAGTCTATTAAGATGAGTGTGTTTGAGTGTTACTAAATCTCTAAATAGTTATTGTTGCAACTTAGATTCTTCTTAAAGAAATTTGAGGTAAGCCTATCAACTTCTTCAGGATGGATGATGCTGCGTAAGAATATAAAATGAAGTTTGAACTCATACGTGTTGTTAACATATTATCTGGGTAGTGAAAACAGCTGCCTGTGGGTTATAGAATTGAAATCGATCTAGATGAACTGAAGCTGCTGACAAGTATTGTTATTTACTAGCTTTTAATATTCGTCTTTACATTGTTTATCACGAGCTTCAAATTGATGTGGAACTTGCATTTCACCAGATTTAGTATCTGCACTAACATACTTTTGTAATCAGTAGTTAATAAATTATCCTTCTACCTTTGAGTAGAAATAAAATTATAAAATTTACTTATTATTTTCCCTTGTTTCCAGGCAAGAATTCATCCACGACAGGTAGCTTCTAGCCTGTCTGATGAAAACTGCTCAACTTTGTATAACTGCATCAAAGAGGTGGGGATACAAATTTCTTTAGAAATGATCATAATTTATGGTACTTCTGTACTTCATATAAAATATAGAGAACAAAATGTGTAGGTTATTCAATTGGCTGTTGAAGTTGATGCTGACTGTAGCCGTTTTCCTCTTGAATGGTTATTTCATTTTCGATGGGGAAAAAGGCCTGGAAAAATAAGTGGTGAGAATGCTTCTCTATTGTGTAGTAGTTGACAAATAGGTCCTTTTTACAGGTCATTGAAAAAGCAATTGAAGTTGGAGCAGATAGTAGTCAGTATCCCACCTATTGGATATTTCGTTCACGTGAAAAGAAACAGGACAAGGCTTTTGTTGATGGTTTGCTTTCTCACTGCGTTATAGAAATAAACATTTTCTTGGTGGAACATGAATGTTACCAAATCTTCATGAGGTTTTTTGATGCTTACATATTAATTTTATGTGCAATTTGCCTACAAAATATAGTAAATTGAATAGCCTGTATTCTTGATTGGTGTGATTTACCAGTCTTTATCATTGGTACCTCAATCCCAGACTTGTGTTGCCATTTCTGACGAGATTGTGGATACAAAGCTAAAGTTCTTGTAAACATTTTCATATTTGTGAGCAATACTCATTATTAGTGAAATTCTAGTGCATTCAACTGTGGAGAGTGCTATTGGAATATTGATACTATGTTATTGATCTCAATTTGAAAAATAAAATCATCACCCACTCATCATTGAAGACTCCATTTTTAAATTCGCTGGATTATCCTGTCAAGTCAAGCTTTGTAACTATAATTATGCATATTTTCTTAGAAGTATGCTAGATCTCTGATTTTTGGTAATTTTTGTGAAATTGCAGAGGTTTCTGTAATTGTCTGATATTCTTCTTGGTTTTTGTTTTATACATACAAAACATATATTTATCTGTAATCAGTTTCTTTTTTCCTTTTCTTTTACGCGGTATCTTTTCTTCTGCTTAAATGTTGGATGAAATGTACCCTGCTTCCCGTCAAGAATAATAATTAAAAATATGCTTTTGTTGCTATATCCGAAAGTTTATATTTTTTTCTTGTGATAGCAGGGAAAAAAATTGACTTCATTACAGCTGGTGGCAGGGTATGTCATTCTGAGCATTGCCATTAATTGTTTTCTGTCATTATATTGTATGTATTTCTGATATGTACATGATGTTGCCATTAGACAACTGCTTATGTGCCAGAGTTGCAAAAGCTTAGTGGATCTCTAGATGTAAAAGAAACTGGTAAGCCTAAAAGGCAATCCTCAAAGAAAGTAAGTGTAGAGAATAACAATGATGACACTGAGAAACAAACAAATGGGGAAGAGGGGAATTTGGGAAGTCTAAAATCGAAGAAGGGGACGAAGGCTGGAGCTAGAGGTAGGAGGCCTTCAAAAAAGAAAAAGTCAGGGGAAAGTGATGAAGACAATGATAATGATGCTGGTACCGAGTATGATAGTGATGAATTTGAAAGGAATCCAGGTAAGGCGACTAATAGGAAACAAGCTGGGGGAGAGAAGCAAACAAATAAAAGAGTTCAAAGCAATCATACTAGTAGGAGTTCTAAAAGGAAAGCTAAGTAACTACTATGGGGTTTGCATAGTTTTGTCATGTGCTATGTTCGCACTAGAACAACAGAAGGATTGTTTATTATGTGCCTGCAACGTAGGTTTGCTGTTTAACAAGTTGTCTTTATGATCTGTTGGTTGGCTTGCGCTTCCACAAATTATGTATGGTAATTTAATTTCCACATGTTAAGCAGACAAATAGAAGGCAAGAATAGGAGTAGGACGCCTTCAGTTTTTGTGACTATTGTTAATGCTCACTTGGTGTTATGACTCAAGATGTAATTTCTGTTTTACATTTTCATCTTTACGATCAATCTTGTCACGATCCATCTCTCAATCACAAATATTAAATAATCTTAGATGTGTGATAATATTGTCTTTAGCTTGTTTATGTGATAGGCAAGTCTTGAAGATATAATAGGTCATTTTCAATAATAATTGGAGTAGTAAAACTATTAAGTTTTCTTAAGTAAGAATGATTCGAGTGATAAAAATGTGTTTCTATAATTTTTTTTTTGAAATTGTTGTATGCATACTATATAAAAGAGGTATTTTTTTTTAGTAATTACTTTGATTTTTATATGTAGTAGATCGTATCTTTTTATGATTAAAGAAATAAATTTTTTTTTTATCAAATTCAAGATTTTAGAATCTTGAGATTTGAGGATTAATTAAAGTGTTAGTTGGATTAACATATATTTATTATTTAACCTCAATTTTTATTTTATTAATAGAAACACTATTTCATTAGTTTATAATAAAGAAGGTTGTTTCTTAAAATTATTAAAGGTCAAGTCAACTGGATAATAGATAAAAATGAAACTAACTTTTAAAAGATCAAATAAAAAGGATAAGAGATTTGATTAATGAGACTAAAATAAATTGGATATTTATTTGCTAAATGAATAAATTAATTTAAAATAATTTTCCAAATTTTAATTAAATAAATATATTAACTATTTTAAAATATCACTCAAAATATACAAGTTTTTAAGACGTCTGTTTGTCAAATGAAGGTCAAAATGATTTAACTTTTTAATCAAAACGATATTTTTGGTTTTCTTGACTGCTATTAATATTACTGATAGATTCCCTATGTGCAGTGCTTTAAGTCTTATAGCTCTGCGCACCTGGTAGCACTGGAGTTAGTGGAGTGGGTAAAAGTTTACATCAATAAAACATTATTCTAAACCTTTTGAGATGTTCCTGGGTTTGAATTAAGGTGTCTGTGTGGTTAGGGGTGTTTATACCGGACATTAGTTTCAATCGGGTGTTGGGATGGGAGAATATGATACCGGAATACAAGTCTTATTAATATATTCTCCAGCATTCTTTCTGTGAATGAATGCATCTCAAGTTTTATTGATGATCAAGAATGTGTTTTCTTTTTGGTCGTATATTTGTAAATTCATTTCATTTTTTTTTATAAACCTCACTTTTTCAGAATATTTTATTTTTCAAATGGTTTATTGTTAATTTAGCTCAAACGTTATTTATCCTCACATTTTAAAGTCTTGCAATTTCTTTCAAGAAGCTAATATCTTGAAATCTTGATTCTATTATATAAATAATTAATTATATAATAAGTAATAATTAATTTTTTCGCTCTTAATTTGTTTTCCGGATTTTAAAAGTCAAAACAATTAATTATGAATGCATCATAGTCGATTATCTAGCTTTTAGAAACCAATGTTTTGATTTTATTTATCTGATGAAGATTTTGTAATCAGTTATTCTTTTAAGTAGAGACTTTTCTTTTTTGTGATTCTGTTTATATAAATTATCGAATTATCTGAAACGTGTAATTGACTGTATGAAACATGTTTTTAATGGCCTAAAATAGATGTATTTTGTTTCTATTCTTATTTACTGCTTAATTTATCTTGTGTGTTTAAAAATAAACTAGGTATTTTTTAATAAAAAAAAGATACACATAAACAAAACAAATCTTCAAAGCTTTTCTTGTCCATTCTTGAGATTCTCAGGCTTTCAACAATTTCACTGTCAAGTTCTTGTTTATTTATCTCTTTCGATTGATTTCTTACTATAGATAGGGTAAGACATCCCTATTGGGTTTTGAATTTCTAAGGCAAATCTAATTATCAGTGAACAAATCTTGAGTGCAGGCCATATAGGTCACATTTTTAATATATATATATATATATATATATATATATATATAG